CATTTGTGCGGATAGCTTGTTCTTGCGCAGCCAGGATTAGTGACTCTGTTTCTTTCTTTAATGTACCTGTTGTTAACCACTGTCCACTTTATCTTTTATTTTTTCCAGAAATTGGCCATGCAGTGCTTTGTTCTGCCAACTCTCCATTCTTGATTTTATCACATCTTTTCTGTATTCTTGTTTATTATTATTATTATTATTATTATTATTATTATTATTATTATTATTATTATTATCTTTGATAATTTGGTGGGGAGCGGGTGCCCGCATATATGGTTAGGATCCGTCCAGAATCACCTCAACATGAACAACCAGGCACAGGAACAGAGGCTGGTTATGAACATGAGGTAGAGTTAGCAAAGACTGTGGGACAAAGACTGTGGGAGTCCCAGAGGAGTATACTGACTTTAGTGAAGTTTTCAGTGAAAAGGAGTGCAACATCATCCTAATGATTGTGCCATAGAAATAGTACCAGAGGCCAAGCTTCCCAAACAAGGATGTACTCTATGATGCCTAAAGAGTTAGATGAAATGAGACAGTACATCGACAAAAACCCGGCACGAGGGTTTATACAGCCAGTAAGGTTCCCCAATGCTGCCCCTGAATTATTCAGGGAAAAGAAAGATGGTAGCTTGCACCTATGTGTGGACTTTCAAGGTATCAATGGAGTGTGTGTGGAACATACAGTATGTATCCTCAGTCACTCACGAAAGATATCCCGGTTATCGGAGGGGGTTATCTTTATTAAGTTGGACCTCAATTTAAGGCTTATTATTGAGTAAGAATTCATGAGGAGGATAAGTAGAATTGTCCCCTTGGGAGTTTCCAATATAGGGTAATGCCTTTTGGGTTACAAGGGTACCGGCGGTTTTCATGCAGTTAATCAATGAGGTACTGCATGAACATCTCTAAAAAGATGTTGTCTATCTGTACGACATTTTAATTTATACTAAAACCATGAATCAGCATTTCAAATTGGTATGTGAAGTTCTTACCACATTATTAAAAGCCAAGCTATATGTCAAGATAACCAAATGTGAGTTCCACAAGACAAGATTGGATTATCTTGGTTATAGAGTTTCCCAAACAGGAATTGAAATTAATCCAGCAAAAGTTCAGGTGGTAATGGATTGGCAGGCACTCATTTACACTAGTATTTTTATTATGAACAGGAAGCAACATATAGAATGTAATGGGGAGTAATCAAGTGGTTCAAAATAGAAAAAGCAGAGTATGAAGGATAGACATTTATTTAATATACTGATATATCATGAGAAATACTGGACTAGAAATAATAGAAATCAAATTAAAATTACTATGAGAAACATCAGCAATCTCAGACAATCAGATGATACCATTTTGATATGGAAAAGAGTTAAGGAAATTCTTGTTGAAGATGAACGAAGAATGCAAAAGCTAGTCTACGTATGTGTGTGTGGTGTGGGTGTGGTGTGGGTGTGGGTGTGGGTGTGGGTGTTTTAAAAAAACACCAAGATTATATCAACAGTAATGCTAGCTAAATACAAATATGTGGTGAAGAAGTTGAAAATATTACCTCCAAAATCTCAAAGATTTACAGGAATGAGAAATTCTGATCTCAACATTTCTCAAAATGTTGCAGAAATGGTCTGACCTTGAAACAGGCATGTTGTTAGTATTCCACTTGTACCTATATTTTTCAGTTTCTCTTTTGGAAATGAAAAAAAAACCCTCTATGGTGAACATGAGAATTATAGAAAAAACACAAAAATTCCACTAGTAACAGTTTTGTGATTGAGTTCCAGTGGTGGGATTCAGCCAGTTTGCACCACTTTGGTGGAACTGGTTGTTAACTTTCTGAGCAGTCTGAACTGGTTGTTGGAAAAAATCATTAGGGCAGAGAACCAGTTGTTAAATTATTTGAATCTCTATGTGGAGTTCTTTGTTCTTTATTCAGTTCAAGAAAAACAAAAGAATATATGTATCCAAGTACTTCTCCATCCTAGGAAACAAACTCTATAAATTTGCATGCTGCAAAGGAAACACAGAGTTGGAACAGTTTCCCCATTCATTCTGAGATTGCCATTGAAGACAATAAGATGTAAGCTGCTACTGAATGCTGGTGGGTATAGTTCTGGGTATTTTATGGTTTCCACAGGATTCCAAGTGCTTTTCATGTGAAATTTAAGATATTGGTTGAAACCTTTAAAGCTCTATATGGCACTGGGTCAATTTTTTTGTAAAATTTCATCTCCCTGAGGATATTGCCCATCCTTGTAAGTTAAATTGTGTGGGCATACTCAGGTCCTTTCCTTCAAATGTTGCAGGATCCTGGAAGCCTCTACTAATCTCAGCAATTTGCAAAAACCTTCCACTGAGATTCTGGAGGCACTAGCCTTTTAGCTTTCCATGGACTGTTTCCCCCCAAGCATTGAATAGAATAGATTTGTGTAACAGAGTTAGTAGCATGGGTGGTTCAGTTAATAGCATCATTGAGAAAGATATGGTTTTTTTATGCTGCTCTTATTGGGTCTGCGAGGCATCTAACATCATTATATCAAATATGCACAATATCAGTTTGTTAAATAAATAATTAACTTCTCTCAGCGCTGACAATATCACTGAAATTACAGCAGCACACAGAAGCAATCTAATCTCCTCCATCTTGCACATATGTGATTGTGTCTGTGTGTATGTACACACTTAGTCATGTGATATGTATATAGACTCTAAATAGGCAAAATATTAAAATAATATTATTGTTTTGTTGTCCCTCCCTAGGCATTTCCTGGAAATGTAAATTCTGACTCTGTGGTACGACATGATTTACAGCATGCAGTTATTGCCCGCTACATTCGAATACTTCCTCTGGAATGGAGTGGAGAGGGTCAAATTGGATTGAGGATTGAGATCTATGGCTGTCCTTATTGTAAGTTATTTAAAGTTTTCTTCTATTTATCTGCTGTCTTCAAATTATTCTGAAATAATGATATTTTAATCTAAAATCTGCTTGGATGCAAAGTATGGTATAAAGTATGCCTGAGTACAAAGATTTTAGGTTCATTATATAAAGAAGCTATAAGTAATTACTAGTCTTTCTAATCTGAAATGTATTATTAAACCTTTGCTGTAACATCATAACAGCTTCCCCAAAACACCACAACTTTTCATTGCTTTTGTGGGAAATAATAATATTGATAGATGGTCTACAGTTATTGGACTGATAATAAGCTGAGGCAGCTTTTCCTTTTTGCTTAGTTGCAAAATTTCATTTATTCATTCTTCCCCCATTTTGATTAGCCTCAGCTTGATATATCAATCTTATATTGACTCACTGGTTGGGTAGTCTTAACCCCAAATAAATTAAAAAATGTGAAATAATAAATTCTGGAATAGTTTTTTCTGTTTATTTTCAATATTATATCCAAGTTTTAATGTTATGCATGCTTTATTACATGTATCTGTTGCTACTTAGAAATCATTTCTGTTTGGTCAGTATGTCTAGCTTTTCTTTTTAATATGTTATTTTAAAATGATTTGCAAGCTGCCTGGGAAAACATTTCACTGTAGACTATATATTTTTAAAATAAAATAAAAATTAAAGAAACTTCATCTTGCAACCAATAAAGGGCCTATTTCCAATGTACTTTAAATTATTGATTTAAAATTATTTTACTGTTTCAGTGCTCTCTGGGTAATATATGTACATGAAAATTCTGGCTCTGATTTTCAAGGCAGAATTCCTTTTCTATTTTTTTCCCTGGGGATCTCATTATAATTTCCACCATTATGTCAGTCCTATTGCTTGATACTACTATTATAAAAGTGGAGTATTGTAATCTTCTGAGAAAACCATGTAGGAACAAAATACTGTATGAAAAGGCATTAAAAGCCCTAAGAGAAATGAATGCAAAGGATAATAAAATTCATGGTTTTGTACTCATATCTGTCATATCAAAGCTCTATAGGTTTCATTGATATCTCATATTATTTTTAGAAATGCATCCATTTATGGTACCAGTCACACTACCATTAGAACCCCAAACATGTTTAAGATTAACATTATCATCATACACCTCATATCTTTCACATAGTTTTGTCTACACAGCAAAGTGTCTCGTCTTATCCTTCAATTTTATATAAAACATTTCCATGTTGAGGAACCAGTTTGTTCACATGACAGAGATTGCACAGAAGAGTCAGGACAACTGAAATTTCACACCACTATTTCTGAGTCCTATATTGTTAGATCACATTCACAGATTTGTCATAGGAACTGTATCAAAAATATTATGCTGATTCCAAAAAATTGCCAGATATTTGTGGAATTAATTGCTTATTTGCTTACTATAGATCAGCAACCAGTGATAGTTTTATCACTGGTTGCTGATCTACAGATAGCTTTAGGTACACTTGTATTTATATTTTCTTGTGCTCTGAGTTGCTCTGAGAGTATACAAACACTTGTAGTAGAGTTGAGAAAAACATTTGAAAATGTGTTTGAAACAATCACTAGTACAAAGAGATCCTATTTCTTCACCTTTGCAAAGTAATATGTGTTTTGCAATGTTCAATCAATGGAAAAGAAAAAAAGAGCTGGAGTTCAGCAGGAGTTTGAAATAAACCAGCATGCAACCAGCTGGTCAACATTTAAAGACAACAAAGCAGAGTAAAACAATAAATCCAAAATGTGAAGGTTAATACCCAGTCTTCCTTAGAAAATGAAATTGCTGACAGGAAGATTTGCTCAGCGACTTTCCAACTGCTCCTAGAGTCTGAGGAATCTTCAAGAATCCCTTCTGAGGTGGGTCCATGGCCATTCAAAAATTGTTGGGTCATTCCTAAGTGATCCTATGCAAATCCAGGGAGCAGTATAGTGGTGGGATTCAGCCAGTTCACACCTATTCGGGAGAACTGATTGGGTACTTTCTAAGCAGTCCGGAGAACCAGTTGTTGGAAGAAATCTTTTGTTTTTCCCCACTTCCTACAGGGCTAATACTGTAAGGAAGGCAGGAAGGAAACATTCTGGTGTTGTTTCTAGCCTAATCTTGTTGTAAATGTGTTTTTATTTTCCATTTCATTTTCGTACAGTCACATATATACTGTCCATAACCGGGGCTATATAACAT